TTCTCTAGTTTAGTAAAACTACATGCAAAACACAAAAAGTCTACAATACATATAACAACAGCCATAAAATAATAAAAACAACAAAAATATTAATTTTTTTTTTCTTAACATTTTGTATTGAAACACTTAATGGCTAACGCCGCGAACTTAGGAGAACACAACTTAGCATTTGGCTATGCTTAATGTTTAATGTTTTCTGTTTTCCGTTTTTTTTCTTTTTCTTTTTCTGTAGAATTTAATTCATGTTATTCTGCTTATTGTTTGACTTTTGTTGTTTTTATTTGCTGTGTTTTTTGTGAATATTGTTGTCTTTTAATTTTTTGAAGTTGTTTTAAGGAGTGTTTAAAAATCCATGAAGTTACAAGCTCAATTAATAAAATATCAAGCAACTAATTTGCGATGGAGTGCATTTGTTGTTGCTTTCATTTAATTTATTATTTTGACTTTTATTTCATTTTTATGATTTAATTTTAAGAAATTTATTTATTATCTAGGAATTATATGCAAATTAATTATTTAAAAAATACTCATTCTTTTTAGAACACCGAATTGTTTTTTGATCTTAGAAAAAACTGCCAACTGAAAATAGTTAGTCGTGCCGTAGAGCTGGCTAGAAGATATGATTTATATTTTTATTTGCTAATAAAGATCTAAATTCTCTTACTCTCAAAAAAAATTAACACACCTTTGATGCTTCAAATTATACATATGCACATATGTAAATATGTATTACTTTTTAGAAAATGCTTTTAGATCCACAGAACATAGCTCAGATCCCATTTAACATAGCATATATGTATATGTATGTGCTTTTAGAAAACTCCAAAGGTCCGTTAAATTTCATTGGATGCCAAATAATAACAGCATGAAATGAAGTTTGTCATGTAATGAAGATATTTTCAACTTCAAATTAAATTATTAAGAAACACTGATATTACATGATATTAAGGATTTTCATGAATTTCCCATGTATGCAGTTTTTTCTACTTTATCCTTTCTATGTTCGCATACATTACATAGGATGCCTTTGTGTACAAAATCGCTTTTTTTTGTTTCTAATCGCTAACACAGACACATACATAAAAAACATCATATTTCTTTTATTATTTGTTGCCTCCAATTTTTTTTCTCGACTTTTTTCATCACATTTTGTTTTTTTTTTAATTGCATACTGAAGCAATTTATTCAAAAGTCCATTTAAATAAGTCTGTGCACCTATACAAACGCAGTTCAATTATTAGTACAAAACACACTTGCAGCATTCAAATAATAACAACAACAACAACAACAACAACAACAACAACGTAAGGCAGCACAGTTACGTTATGCGTTTATGTCGCATAAGTGATTTGTCAGCAGAAAAGACGATATGAAAATAAAAAAAAATTTTTTTTTATAATTTACAAGTACTTCGTTGTCGCTGCTAATACCAAATGCTGCTGCTATTGATGACAACGCTTGCTTTTGTTGCTTCTTTATCGTTTTTCTTAAAAACAAATCAAGTCTACACTGCCTTTTGTCATTAAAGCTTCTGTGTTATTATTATTGTTGTTGTTTCACATACTATTTTTATTCTTGTTGTTGTTGTTGTTGTTGTTGTTGTTGTTGTTGTTGTTGTTGTTGTATCATACATAGTAAAAGCTAGACGTAGCTTTAGCGTATCTCGCGTTAACATTACCACATAATGCATGCGATATTTACATTACTCATATGCATGTGCTTTTGTAGCTTAACATACAATAACATAACAAGAAAATGGTGAGAAATAAGTTTTTCATTATGCCAATTAAAATATTAAAAACAAAAAAAAATAAACGGCTTCAAAAATAATAACAACAAGAAAAACAGAATACTGAAATGACTAAAGCTATTACGGCGTCTACATTGCGTCTGGTGTTGTTGCTTTGTTTTATGCTTGTTTTTTTTTCTTAACTTTTGTTTTGCATTTTATTATTTAAAAAACAATTAAAAAAAATTTAAATGACATTTTGAACTATTTAATATAAATAATAATAATAATTAAATGTTAAGAAATGTACCGAAAGAATAAATAAATATTTAAAAAAATTGAAAAATAAAATTAATAAATAAATATCTAAATAACATATATTCTTTTACTTCGTTTTTTCAAAATTTTTTGCTTTGATTTTACTAACAAAAAAATATGTCTACGAGAGTTGTTTGATGAGTGAGTAATGTTGACGGAAGAAGGATTTTTTTCTACCGTTTGAGCTCTACTATATGACAACAATTCATTGCAACAGTACTTCAATTTTTTGAATCCTTCATGGGTGGTCCGTTGCATGTTTTCAGGCCATCACTCCTCCTTATTCCGTATTCCTGATTAGCGACATAAGTTCTGTGTCAATTTTTCCAACTTTATGAGATTCCATAGTTGTTCATCAACTTAATTATATTTGTTAATATATATATCTTCCATATCGGCTGTCAAAATCTTTTCTAACCCTTTTCTAAATCTTTTCTTTCAAAAGTGTTCTTGTAAATTTGATTAATCCGAACAAAACCAATTTTTTTAATGTAATCTGTTTTAATATTGAGAATTGAAGATTGATCTAAAATACAATTATATATAGTTAAAGTTTAGACTTAGACTACAGTTATTTTTAGTTCTTCCAATACAGTTTGTAAATCAACCTTAAAGACTTCACATGTCCCATTATATTTAGAAATGTTTGCATATATTCATTGGCTGATAAGTTCATAGAATAATCTGTGTTTAAATCCGACTTTTTATATTAATCAATTTCGGTGATGACTTTTATATCGGAGCCAAATTTCTTACTTTGGAGTATTTTTTTGTGATCTGCTAACAGGTAATAATCGATTGAAACCAAATGTTGCAAACATGGTGGGTTTTGGGAGAGTTTGAAGTGTGATTCATGCACTTCGAAAGCTAAGAGGAAACTTTTTTTCTTCAAATAACAACCGTTTTGTGATTTTTTTCCTGAGATGTATTAGTTGGGCCATATAGCGATCTCTATGAATGGACTGACCTTTTTCAAAGTAGTCGTTGAAGAAAACTCCACGCCAAGCCTAAAATTCTGATGCTATATTCTTGTCAGCTGTCTTGTTATGTTTTGGCTACTTTGAGTGAGTTTCTCCGCGTGATTCGACACTGTAGTAAGGCGCTAGATCCAAGTTTTGTTAAGTGTTACATACCAACACAAAAAATTATTTTTATTTTGCTTCAACAGGTACATGTTACTGTATTTGGTAAACTGTCAGCAAACGCGGTACCCACTTTAAAATGAATTATCTCCCACTTTGAGATATACCATTTTTCTCGATGAATCAGAGTCCAGACAAGGCTTACCAAGTGAATCTTTTGCTGTTAATGTATTTTTTCTTAATAAAAAGCAATTATAAACCAGGAAACGAAATTGCTTTGAATCGATTATGCTGAAAATACAAAAAAAAGCGTCACTAAAAGACCTGTAACTGACATTTAAGGATCGCCAATTTTCAAATTTTTCTATGACATTGAATTTTCATTAATAACGCTGCCTATGTGTCATCCTACGGATTGGACTTAACGATCAATATATATGTATGAATATCATCTCATCCTAATAATAATTAGCATACATGTATTTTATAATTATATTTATAATTTTTATATATTTATCTACATTTTTTATATATGCATTTTTTAAGTCAAACCTCTCCTTTTGAAGAAATAAAGATTCTTCAAATAATTTACTTAAATTAATTATAATAGATCAATTCTTAAATGACTGATTCAACCTTAACTTAACACATCTCTTCTTCTTAATTGATTTTAACATTACATGGACTTTAAGGCAGTTCGTCTCTTCAAGTTCTGCACTACTATATTGTTTACTATGTATATTAATTCTCGCTATTTCCTACTAGTTTCCCTTGATTAATTGCTTTCAAACATTTGTACGTTCTTAGCCCGTCCCCCTAATATATGCGTTCCTCTCTCTTTATTCCAATCTTCTTTCCCATTTCTGCTCATACACTTACGAGGGTGGATTTGCTAAGAATTTCGTTTCTTCATATATAGCCGTTGGTTTTGTTTGGCCGTCGGTAAATCGAACTTCGAGCAATGAATAAAACTAAATATGAACGAAATTAAATTTAAAGTTAATTTTAATATAAATATTTATTTAAAATTTAAGTTATTATTCTCTTCTTTCCAAATAATTGTTTTTACATATTTTTATATATAGATTAATTATAAAATAATTTCAATTTTTTAATTTATCATGTTTTTTATATAAAAAAAAATTTAAAGAAGAGAAGCTTATTTACTTTCTTGTTTATGTTGTATGTAGTTATACATTTTTATATAAAGTATTATTAATTAAACATAATATTAAAGAATTAGTATTATGTTAACTACAAGGAGAAGACTTCAGTAAAATAAAACTGAGGTTACCAGTAGTTGGCTGGTGTGATGATATCTTGTGTCTCATGGTTTGGTCTGAATCAGTAGAGAAATGGTGGTGCAGGAGCTTCCGTTCCCATTTGGTATTAAAACATTCCGCTTCTTATTTGAAAGGTTCGGATTAGTTTTGGATGAACGCGTGCTAATGTGAACATCACCTCATACACTTGGAGACAATTATTGCCCATTGTAATTATTATTATTATAATAATGATATTTTTATAATATTATAATTATTCTATAAATATCATGTCATTACATGTATTGTATGCAATTTTTTTCGCTATAATTGAATAGATTGGTAATCTAATACAATATTATAAGTAATCTATTACAGATTATATAGACTAATTGCACTACACAAAGTTTAGCTTAGCTGTGCTGTGTTAGTTAATTGTGCGTATTTTTAAAATAAATAAATTTTGGCTGTATGGTCAGTCAAAAAAAAAACTTTTGTTGTAGTTCACTACTTTTCGAAACTTCTCCATAAAATAAATAAATATTGTTTAATAAATTTTGAAATCTACTTTATTTATATGAAATCTTTTTTCTGTTTTTTTTTTTGCAGCGCCTTACCAACAGCCCGGCCACACTCCACAGAATCAGCGAACTCCAGTGAACGCTGCCCCTCGCACGATTCAAATTCTTCGGAAAACGGTCGAGACGCTAGAGACAGCGGTATTGCTAATGTAGCTGGGAATGTCTTACCAGTGCCAACTTCTCCAAATTCCACTTTCCCAGCTGTACCACAAAGCTTACCCGCACAGCCGCCATCGATGGAAGCATACTTGCATATGGTTGCTGCAGCAGCGCAGCAATATGGATTTCCGCTTGGAGCCACAGCTGGCGCTCGTTTGCCATTGCCATTACCTACAGAAGCTGCTGCACCATTTAAATTGCCACCTCAAGTATCACCTACAGCTTCGAGCAATAATTCAGAGGCTTTAGACTTTCGTACAAATCTTTTTGCACGCGCTGAATCAGCCGAACCGGCTGCTTCTGAGGAAGATGAAGAGGACGAGGATAACATGGATATCAATAATCCACTTGATTTATCTGTAGGCCCGCGTAAACGCAATGCTGATATTGGACATGAATCGGATTCTACAATGGGCCAAATACAAGTGAAAAAGATTTTCAAAAATGATAGTCCACCATTGGTTGCACCACCAACTGTACCAGCCGCGCCATTATTGCCGTCAGTTAATCCATATTTAGCTGCTGTTGCGGCAGCGAATATTTTTCGTTCCGGTCAATTTCCGGATTGGAATGGTAAAAGTGATTTAGTTGTAGATCCTTTGGAGAAGATGTCAGACATTGTCAAAGGTCCACGCAAAGAAAAGAATTCTCGCTCAGCAGTTACGCCGACGAACGTACAGCAGACGCCCTTAGTTTCCGGTGCAGGAAGCAATAATACAACATTGCAGCCATCCACGGAGGGGATGTCGAAAGCGAGGCACAATATTTGGCAGTCCCATTGGCAGAATAAAGGCGTTGCTAGTTCTGTATTCAGATGCGTTTGGTGCAAACAGAGTTTTCCTACACTAGAAGCACTGACAACTCACATGAAGGATAGCAAACATTGTGGCGTCAACGTACCACCATTCGGTAATCTTCCTAATACAGATCGTCATCATCAACCTCCACCACCAACACAGCCTAGTTCAGCACAACATTCCCATAATTTACGTAAACAAGGTGGAAATTCGTCAGCGCCATCCAACTCAAATTCTTCACCCTCTGCTGCCGCCAAAAATGCATTCCAATACCGTGGAGACCAACCAACACCGCTACCCAGAAAACTTGTACGCGGACAAAATGTTTGGCTTGGCAAAGGCGTCGAACAGGCTATGCAGATTTTGAAGTGCATGCGTTGTGGTGAAAGTTTCCGTTCGCTTGGAGAAATGACCAAACATATGCAGGAAACTCAGCATTATACTAATATACTCTCACAAGAGCAAACAATATCAATGAAGTCCTCTTCGAGTGACGCAAAAGACGGGCAGAATAGCTTGAGCTCTGAAGAAAGTCGCACATTGAGCGCTGTACTCACATGTAAGGTATGCGATAAAGCATTCAATTCACTGGGTGACTTGAGTAATCACATGGCCAAAAATAATCACTATGCCGAACCGTTGATGCAATCAATGGGAGGCGCTAGTAATCGAAAGCGTCCAGCTCCGAAGAAACGTGAAAAGTCATTACCTGTACGCAAGTTACTTGAAATGAAAGGTGCACAAAATGAGTCTGACATTATAGAGGCCAAAATGCATCGTCCTTTCGACGGTGCTAAACGTATGTCATTGGACGGTACAGGCGTTGGACCAGGAAATGAAAAGGCGGAAGCTGCTTTGTTTGCCGAACGCATGCGCCAGTACATATCCGGAGTAAAATCGGCAGAAGAAACTGCTAAAGCAAACTTGAGCACTGCCAGTCTATTGGGAAAAACTAAGTCACCTGAGCTAGAACCAAAAAATGGTGCCACCAAATCATCAACAGGTTCTTCGTCTGTTTTAAGTGCCATTGAACAAATGTTTACCACTAGTTTTGACACACCGCCTCGGCATACCAGCTTACCAGCAACAAGTCCTTCTAATTCATCTACTAAAAACACATCGCCTGTGGCTTCCAGTATATTAAAACGTCTTGGCATCGATGAGACCGTAGATTATAATAAGCCACTTATGGATACAACGGATCCTTATTATCAACATTATCGATACACCAGTAGTGAACGCAGTGGCAGTGAATGCAGTGCTGAGACACATCCAGAACAAAGAAAACTTGATGCACCTACACCCGAAAAAATTCAAACCGAAGAAACTGTTAAATCCGACCACGCAATGGAAATTAAGAAAGAACCAGAAAATGATAAAATGGATGAGACGGAACCTTTATGTACGTCAAATGATCATGTTGCACAAATAAAAATGGAGATCAAGTCTGAAGTTATTGATGACGAACCAAAAAGTCCACAGAACTTGGAAAAAATAGATGGCACACCTAATGGTACGGACTTCAGTTATGCTCACAATAATAATAATAATAATAACAACAATAAAGAGCGCAGCATAACACCCACAAAAACGAACAATACAAGTCCTTTACCAAGAACATTACCACCGCGCAGTCCCACCGACAGTCATCGTTCCATTACACCAAAGTCCCCAGCTTCCAGCATTAAGTCCTATGACGGTGAAAAGAAGTATCCCAGCGATTCTTTGAACGCATTATCTTCAATGTTCGATTCGTTAGGCAGCTCTACATCGAGCACACCCAGCACTCGGGCACAATCCTCATCATCGCTGCTTAATAACAAAATTGAATCCCCGGAAAATCTTAGCACTACAAACTCCTTAGCCGCCTTACGTCAATTTTGCGTCAAAAAAGAGAAAACCGCCTAAATACTTTGTTTCCATTTTTTGTTCAGAGTAAAAAATACTTAAAAATTTTTTGTTTGTCACATTTCGGTGTAGGACCGGAATTGTCGTTTTTCGTCGTGGTGAAGGCGTGCCATACTTTACTGCCATTAGTTATCAGCTGCCACTTAACGCTGTTACTCATCAAGAGAAATAGCCGACTGTTCGGCAGTTGTCAGTTGCCAGAGTTGGTGAGGACCCGACTTACTTGAGTGACAGGCTGCAAGAGTCTGGCGTCTTATAATTTGTTAAAGATACGATGGCAGAAGGAGCAGTGGTGTAGGTGCGTTGAATGTCTAAAATGTTGGTACTATATTGACTTGTGTGAGGTCGTGGAAAGCTGATGTCAAGTTCTTATCAAGGAGTGCTGATGTTACAAAACGACTGTTCGGAAGTTTAAAATTAGGGCCGTCGAAAAAGGCGCAGAGTCTACGAAACGAGGATTATTAGTACTGCGTTCAGACACATATTCTAGCAGTAAAAAGTAGCGCAAATAGAGTGGGCCCACTATTTCCTAGTACCACACGAACACACAAGCATACCAAATATATATTCATACATGTACATACAACCACAGTTTCATACGAACACATACAATTGCAGATGCTATGCGAGCTAGAACCCAATCACATGTGGCAGAGGAGAAGGATAAACAGACTCACCTGCGCATGGTTCCAAAGGTAATTATTTATTCATTTGAAACGCTAAAATAAATTATTAACAAAAGCCTTAACAAAATAGACTCGTAGCGGAAAATTAAATAATTTTCCACATTTCTAAAATAGATTTTTTTCGTATTTCAATTTTGCGCTTTTGTTGATATTTGGTAATTAATCACAAATATTTGTGTATTTATTTTTAGTGGCAACGCAGAGACGAAGGAGTGTGCGAACAGCAAATGTTCAGCGTCTTTCAAGTGTATCAGATTCAATACAAATCAGAAATGAGCTATCAAGCGAGCAGATGGATGGACGGACGAACGGATAAACGTACAAACAGCTGGCCAAACAGTAGTATGAGGTGTGAACGGATAACCATTTTCTTTTGCTCAGCAAAACATCGACAACGGCCCTTTTGCAGCGGTGCCTCTACGATCTCTTGACCATTTCGGATGTGCTTCATCAAGGCTTTTTATTGACTGATCGTCAGTTAAGGGTTGAAAAGAGCATGAAAAAGGTACAGACACGCATACAAAGACAGACATACTAGCTGTAGAATGAAGAAAGATAGCAATATATTATTTGTAATCGTATAAGAGAAAGAGCAATACTACTATCTTTGCCTTTAAAAGTCCTTTTCAGGGCTGCAAATCATTTAAAAAGAGCTAAAAACAGTCAAATTTCAAAATGTTAAAATCTGTCAAATCTTTGTTCTTTATATCTTCTCAAATTTTTATTTTTTATATATTCTTTTATTTTTTATTTTATTTTGTTAGAGAGGTCTGAGTTTTTCTCTTCTTTAGTGCATTCAACTACTAGATACGAAACTGCGTCTTAAGAAAAATATTTGCTGTGAAATTAGGTATTTTCTATTGAAATGTCTAAAATACAGATTCTGTGGTCTATCTGTATTTGATATATATTATATTATCACCGCATTATGTCTTGCTTTCAGAACACACTAAAAGTTGTTTTATTATTAGGGATTTTTTTCCTCCGGTGATGCTTGACGTATATTTTTGTCAGTTCTAAAATTTTATTAAAAATAGTATTTATTGTACATTATTTTAATACAAGGATTATTATGTACGCCTCCGTCACTTAAGTATTTAGTATGTAGTATTTATTAAATATAGATCAGTTTTTTTCAATACTTGTATAAATCACAATATTGATGGCCATGCGGGTCACAAGAAAGAAACCACTGTCTTGCTTCCTATCTGAAAAGTACCAGTAATTTTAAAGTAGTCAAAAACTGATAACACTTCATATTACTATCTTGAATGATATTTTTAAGATTTATTTTAAAATATATGGAGTGTGGCTTTCTCGGACTATTAAAAGTATATTTTCACCAATGGTTAACAGTTAATAGAGTTAATGAAGTACAACGACGTTCAGTTGAAGAGGTTGCATTTCTTTTGTTTGTGGTATGAAAATATTTTGTGTTTTCTGAATTCAGACAGCTTTTTTTGAAGTGTATTTCTACACTACAAAAGTTCTACAGAAATTCCTGCCTAAGTAACTACTTGAACACTTTTAGTTAAGTGCTTATAATTTTCAAAGACTGAAGTATAATGTGTGGACATATTCCTAATATCTCCGCGGTTTTAAAATAAATATGATATAGATTTCTAGAGAGAAACTTTTCATTTTAATATACCTAACCAAATTCAGATATACAATATTATAATAGAATATTTTATAGTTATTACTCACACAAACTGGACGGTTCCATTTAAGCCGAGCATTCAGACACAAACCTATTGCTTCAGACACTTTTATATTAAAATGAGGTCTTTCCGAAACTCCCACTTAATTGTATTAACAAGATAATTGTAATAAGTGTTGATATAAGGGAGAAAGTATTTTATTTTTTTCATATTCTTCATGGATACATTATGAAAGAGTTCTAAAAGGTAATCAAATTGTTTGTGCCACGGTTTGTAGCAATGTGTTTTTTCAGTGTAATGTATATTATATTGTCAAGGTAGGGCGAGATGAATGTATTCCCTTACCTCACTGGTTAGCTATAGGAAACGTTTTATTCGCGTTTTCGAGTAAAAAGCTCAGTATTTAATAATTTTCTGCTAATAACTCTATTGGGTTTACTCGGTTACCAGGGTCGCTGCCTCTATTGTATTTAAAATTTAAAGGGATTAGCTAAAGTGAGAACGTAATCCGGGTTTTTCTGGTGTTGAATTAATCTGTAAAAAAGCTTATACAGATATTTTTAATTCCTACATGCACTGCAAATATTTTTCTTTGATCGTAATTATATTTCGTTTCGCATATTTTTAATTAAATTGCAATGTAATTAATGGCATCGTATTCGCATTGGGCAACACTCACTCAGCTTTAGTATCTTTTCTCCACATTGAATTTAACAAAAATTTTTTGCCAAATTAGTTTATAACAATTTTATTTTCTACTTATGTTTAATTAAATAAATTAAAATAATATGAAATGAAACTAATTAAATTGTGCGAGAAAAGTTGTAAAAATTTTGTTTATAAGTTGTAGACAAAGGTGCAGAATATATGCAGAGTACATGCAGTATTGAAGAGCAATCCGAAATACCAATTTTTTATTTATCTGCAATTTATTTAGAAACTATTAAAAATTTTGCAAGAATTATTTATTTATTAATATTTTTTTTTTTAATTTTGATATTAATTCTTTTTTTATTTTTTTTTAACTTTTTTTTTTAATTTCTTTTTTTTTTTAATTTTTTTTTTTTAATATTGATTTTATTTTAATTTAATTACTTTACGAGTTTCTCTAAATAGATAAATTTTTGCTTTCCTAATTTAAAATTTTTTTTAATATTTCGAATTAATTATTGTTTCCACTTGTGTTCAAATTCAAAATTTTGTTTAAGAAAATAAAAGAATAAGATACAAAATATTAAAAATCCAAATAAATGTTTTTAATATTAATTAGCATATTTATGATTTTATCCTGCACCCGGCTTGTACGGGGTTAAAGTAAATTCATGTTGCACATTTGTGGCACTTCCACAAGAGCAACAAAGAGGCGTGGCATTGCATTGTATTATTCAAAAAAATAAATCCGCCAGTCTGTCTGTCTTTCTGTCTGTATGTTTAGTTTGTAACTGTATTAAAACAAAAATCTATAAATGTATGTTAATTACTTAGCCAACAACAACGAAAACAACAAATTATATGTAAAAAGAACAAAAAAATTTAGATTTTGGCCATAAAAAATTTCTTAAAATATTAAAAGATATCTATATCTATATATATTTATATATACATATATAAAAACCTAAATATAAACAAATAATACTATCATATATATAAATATACTATATACATATATATATATATATATGTATGTATGTATGTATATACGTATATATAAAAACTCAAAGTTCTTTACTATTATATTGACACGCCCAGCTTCATAAGGAAAAAAAATTTTTTGAAAAAATTTTTTCAAATTTGTATATATATTTAGTTGAAAATATAAGAAAACTTAAAGTAAAAGCCAAAACGTTAAAAATAAAAATTAAAATAAAATAATAAATAAAAGCATAAAATAAAAGCAATCACAAAATCAACTTCTTACAGCTCAAAAACTAAAAACAAACAAAAAACAAAAAAAAAAAGAAAAGCAAACTTTTATTTTTGTTTTTCACGCTTCCGCCTTTTGGTTTGCACTGTGGAAAATCCTTGAACCCTTGCCGAGAATAACAGTAGCCTTTCTACGGAGACAGTGCAACTTAAAGGCCAATAAGCCAGAATCGCTTTTAAGCCAAAGACTGTACAACAACAACAAGAACAACAACAACATTAACAACAAATGGCTGAAAAAAGCTATAGAAAAATAAAATACATAGAGGAAAAATAAATTTTAGAACTACAGATAATACCATTGAAGCCGACTTCTTCAGTTGACTCCAGATTTAGGAAATCCTTCAAACGGTGCTTAGCATCTTACGTAGAAATTTTATAAAAAATTATAAAGGATATTTTTAAACTTAATAGTAATATAAAAAGGATACAAAACTATGAGATACTAGAGAAAATAAATACAAGAAAACACAATAAATGAATAAAAAAATTAATTGAAAAGGTTCGAAATTGTAAAGGAGTGTGAATTTGTGTATATTTAAAGCATATTAAATAAATAAAAAAAGTATTTAAAACAAAAAGAAAAAAAATTATTTAAAAATTTTAATTAAATTAATTTAAATAAAGAATATTTGGTGCATCATTAAAACATAAAACGAAATGTGTTTTATTTTTACTTACTAGATTGGAAGGTAATACATACTTTAAACCATCACTTAATTTATATATACATATATATTTATGTTTTATTACATATTCCTAAAGAGCCCACTTATTATGGAAATAATGACTTAGGTCATGCATTGAACATTGATATTTCTAAGAACTTGGATTTTAACTTCCATCTTTCTGTTCTTCATGAGCTTTCCTCCGATTTGACCCTATTTATCCTGTGCCCATGAGAATAAATTCTAATTGGTACCGATTGGAAGAATTTGTAATGAGCGTAATATGTTCTATTCCTATTCCTAAAAAGGAAGTGTAAAAGAGAATTTACTGAGAAAATTCAAAATACTATGAATCTACAACTGATCGTATCTGTCCATATTATTGCTTTAGTTTTCCTGGCAACATTAAGGCTATTATTTGGTGACTTATTCGCCTAAAGAAGTTACCTTTCAAAATGGGTGATCCAGCTAAAATTATGGAAGCTAAGATCCTAACAAATTTATTTAGGAAATAATAATTGAGACTTGCTGTATGTAGCATCGTATGTTATATAATATTATAGACTTATACTATCGTATTACAATTGACGAAAATTGCAACCTTTGCTCCCTGTTACTAATCCTGTTCATATTTATTGTGTCATCTTCTACCAGCAATATTCGATAGTAAAGAATCTAAGAAGTAACTAATTTTTAGAATATATCATCAAAATCAGACGTAGTGTTAACTTTTTATTTTAAAATATATACTATCGATAGATGTTAATAGTTAACTTCTATTGTGAGAAGTGAAAAGACCAGGATAGCAGTTGGGTATAGTCTTTAGTTATTTGCATTTATTCCTTCTTGAATAAATTCTTTACGGTTTAACTTGTGTCCACATACGTGATGACCTGACCTGATCTATGATTGCTCAATACTTTTATTGAACAATATTATTCAACATTTTTATTATTTTAATTTCAAATTTGTTTAAAATTGTCTTATATTAGAAAATAGACCACCTCTGGTATCGAACTTGAATTTTCATTAATTTTTCGATGCATTAACTAATTAATTAAATACAATTAAAGACTTTATATCTGCCTTGATAATCAATCTGTTTGGTTTGGTTTGCCACATAGGCTATGTTTCGTGCCAGAAAATGAAGAAACAGCCTCGTCTTGAACGACTCGAGGTAGTGAACACACGGTTAACACGGTAGAGCCAAAGACAAATAAAATTTAAAGTAACAGAAACAAAAAATGGAGAAAAAAACCTAACTTGCTCCACAAGTAAAATTTGCCGCAATTGGAGTCTCATGCCGCTGGAGTCATGTTTGTGCAATCCGGCAACTGTCGTATATGCAAAATATTAAAAAAAAAATGTTAATAATTAAAGTAGTAACCATAACTAGAGACATTAAGCAAGGATACGACGAGGTTAGTAAATACGAGGTAAGGCCATTGATTATTTCAGTGAGGTTGAATTTGAGTTAATGACTAACAAAAATGATGAAATGCAGGTTATTGTTTTAATAATCGAAGAAATGGGGCTGTGAGGCTGTTGATACTGATTAAGTGTATGTTACGAGGGTCACTATTTATATTTTTAGTCTAATAATGAAAAAATATTAACTTATAGTTAAAAATTGCTTTATTGTTTCTCAGAATACTCGTATTCTCCTTTATGATTAATACACTTTTGTATTTCTTCAGAAACCTCCAAAACATACTTTTTAAGTGCAACAACGGCTTCGTTGTTGCTTCCGCCGACAAAAATTCTTCATGTTTGGAACAAGAAGAAGTCATAGGGTGCCAAATTAGGACCGAAATTAATAGGGCGGATGACCCCTGAATTCGATTTTTTAAATGTTCAAATAGTCGGTTGTTAGACGAGATGTGTGAGCACTCGCATTGCCTTCTCGAATGTGGAGAGTGATCCGACGGCGCTTGCTTGTTTTCCGTATTTCACTGAAGACTTTCAGTTGATTGTAGCAAATAGTTGTATACTATTCGGAATTGACCATTTTACCATCACAGGAATGTAAGACAAGTTTTGCTGTTTACGTTCCGGCTTATACGCATATACTCGTATCTATAATTCTTCATCTGCAACAATCTTACATTCATATACGTCTTTTGAAGCACCACCATTGTACTTCTTGAGCATTTGTGTGCAGGGTGCACCAATCGACTCGAGCATCTTTTTGAGATTTTGTCAAATGATGGGGGATGGGATCCAACGAGAACAAACCTTTCCCACAGCTAAATGATCGTGCAATATTTCAAATACTCGTATGCTGGAGGAACTATCGCTGCACCGCTGAACGATAGTTTCCGCTGAAGAGACGAAAGAGAAAATCATAACTGACTTAACTTTACACTAAAGTAAGATGTTGCACAGTATGATATTTGATATTTATTCCTAATGCGATAGCTTATGACCTCATTCATGTGTTTTCATCATGTGAACAATTTCAGTGCCCAATGTTGACGAGGCTCAGATGGGTTGGTTATTGTTCAGAAGAAGAATAGTTAAAAGTAATTAGAAGGAAAAAAAGACCTGATGTCTATTGTTGGAAGCAAATAAAATGGGAATTCACTAAAACTAGGTATTAAAAGCAGTTAAAAAGTTTTAATTCAAGCAAATACTACGTTGCTCTTGCCAAAGGCCATATTACAAAAACAGTCATACAACAATTGTCAATTTTCTACTTTTCACACTACTTTGGTATGTTTTAAAGAAAATTCCTTATGAGTCAACGTCAAATTTAGTATGTATATAGTCTGTCCAAGATTCGATGAGATTAGTTTTTAGCAAACACAAAGTGCTAATTTAAAATCATTTCAGAGCTAACTCATTCAGAGTGAACTCGGAAGAAATTCAAAATGTCGATTAAAGCTTTTTGAGAGATTATGATGGTATCACAACAATTTCTTTACATTGTCAGTAGGTAGACTGCTCATAGTGAAGAGCTGCTCATGAGACCTCACGAGCTCAAATGTTCATTAAAAAGCGATTTATTAGTTTTTTTGCTATGTGAAAATAAATAATTTAAAATTAACTTAGCGTATTACTATTTATATTAAAGCAATATAATGAAACAATCATACATTGTCTTTCGTATTGTAAACAAACTGTTTTATTACATTCATGTAAAACTTTGAAATATTTATTTTCATTTTCAAAT